CGCCGAAGAGAACTGGTTGCCGTGCCCAGTTGAGAGCGGTGCAGGCGACGAGATGCCTAACCTTTAACCTAGCAATGGGGTATGAAAGTGACTACGAAAATTCTGGGTGCTGTCGATGTGATTCGCCTTTGGGGATGGGGCTGCGTGATCCCTACCGAGTCTGGTTGGTGACGCTGCAAGATACGATTACCAGTCGCTGTCAACGATATTCTTGTGGTCAATTTCTAAACAGATTGTTTGAATGCCTGGAGGTGTCTGAACGTCGGACTGCTTGTATTAAGCTAGTTTTATATTAGATTGGCGCGGATCACGCGGGATCTTTGTTTGCTCTACCTATCTATCTCAAAGCGTACCGCGCTAGTGAGGACAACGGTCCATAGATCTAATGATATCGAAGGAAACAATTCACACGAGGTCAGAAGATATTAAGCAATAGGGTATATACCTCCGGTCCACGACACGACAGACGGGGAACAGCCGTCGAAACAAATTGTAAGTCCAGGTATCCGAATGGTGACAAGAACGGTGGATCCAGTTCACGGGCACTGGTCTCAAGTAACAAACGGACGCTGTTGGGCCGGTTTTTTTGAAGTCAAGAGCTCTGACAGTTTCTCACGTACCAAAATACTAGTGTACAGCAAAGTGAACGGACAGCGGCACGAAAGCTTGCCAGTACCCAAGAAAAGTGACATAAAAGTACCGTATATACGCCTCTCTTTGTTAGTAAACAAGCCTAGATTCCTAGTTACTTGATATTTTATTGGTGCGGCGAGTAGTGCTTAGAAGAGGTTTGATCCTCGTAACGCAAACGCTGCTAATAGGTCGGTCAGCGGACAAGCTGGCTACTTTGCAACGGTCAAATCGATATCATTCGAAACCATCAAGGTACCTGCACCTGAATCCTGGTGTTCGTTTCAGTTGTGAATCGTGTGTGTGTGTACAACAATAGGTGACAGAGCTTATGTACCGACAGAGAGGAAACAAAAACTTCAAAAGAACAGAGGACTGATGAGGAAGAACAACAGTGCCATTGACTGTGTGATATCACGCAAGTGAGTACATTTAATCGTTGGATGCCCCAACGCCCCTACCAGTGCAGCTTAGTCATCTGCTGCTCTTTATTTTCTGGTCTTCATGTCATATGTTTGTCTGCTTCGGAAGACAGAGTAGGGTGACACAGTCGATGGCCTGGCATGCAAGATGCACGGTTTAGGCTTGATAGATGAGGCTGCAGGAGAAAAGCATTCGTCGTATCATAATCCTGATCATCAACTGCACAATACTGAGCACGGTCTCGTCGTTGTTATCGCATATCGACATTGCTGAGTCGGTGTTTTCATGATACGGGTTCACCGCGTTGACGGTCGCGGTTACTAAACACGAGCAATCTTCTCTTTTCCACACATTGATCAAGTTTCACAAGCGTAAAGCAACGTCTGGCTCTGTCGCACTGTAGACCATGCCTTTCGACAAAGGACTAAAATGAAGAGATCGGAGGCATCTAAAACGGTTCTCGCATTAACTTCATCAGCATTGTTAATAGTCGTCCAAAGTGATGCAAGCATCTAATTACGTGAATCCCTCTTTCTCTCTAGTAGTCCTTATGTCATGGTCAGGTTCCATGGTTTAAATTCCCAAGACTTGCAACAAGACTTTGCGCGTTGACGAGACAGGTACAATACCTATTAGCATGAAAATACTACTTTGCCGAATATGCCGAATAATGTGAACACTATTCAGCATATTTTCTTTCACCATACAAACTTCCAAGTTTGAATTCTTTGGAATTTAAGAAGAGGTTCGACAAGCACCTAAACTCTTGTCGGGCATTTCGTTTTATCCAGCAACCCAAGAATGATTGTGCTTCGCTTCTTTGAAGCGGGGTATCGAATCGCCATCGATACTTGCCTTAGTGGCAAGCTTTGAAAATACACCAAACGTTGGTATTCAGCCATTCCAAGTTCTGGATAAGAGCCTGCTGCCTTAATATTTCTACTCTGCGGACTAGTATGTTAAGTGCAGTGCGAGGATTTGAGATATCTACTAGGTTTATCAGGTCGCTGGTCTTCTTTTTGACAACTTAGTACAGGTAGGATTGCAGTCAGTGATGACACGGGATATTCTGAAAGTTCCGTTTACATTGGAGGGCAGGGATGCGAAGACAGGAGACAATGTGTGAAAGTGTGAAGAAACTGGAAATGCTACTAGCAAAGATGTAGCTTCATTCACTGGTGTCAGAGTCGTCACTTTATCCGGGTCGTAATCAATTATGTGTCGACCGCTCGACGAACTGTTGGACTTCAAACGAAAGAGAGAACCCACATTGATGGAGAAATTCCGTGGGTCCAGAAAGCCGAAGAGGGAAGGCGCAGGCGAAAAACTCCTGTAGTGTGCGTAAACTTCCAGTTCACTTTATCCGGGTCGTAATCAATTATGTGTCGACCGCTCGACGAACTGTTGGACTTCAAACGAAAGAGAGAACCCACATTGATGGAGAAATTCCGTGGGTCCAGAAAGCCGAAGAGGGAAGGCGCAGGCGAAAAACTCCTGTAGTGTGCGTAAACTTCCAGTTGATAAGTGCAACAGTTCAATACAAGTCTCCTATGAGCGAAACAATCACAGGTAACAATGGCTTGTTTATGTATAAAAAGAGGATCGCTTGAATCTTCTGGCTGAAAGCCTTCAAAACTAATTAAATTGGCCACCTTCAGTTGCTCAGTCGGATAATGGACTGGCAACGCTGCCATGGACAGCGAACTTGGAACCCCTGGTGGCTTCAGAAATAAGCGAATACCTTTTGTCCCTCATGCGTCACCGAGATGATGGTCTTGACGACCTACCACGCGGTCTGTTTAAAGATGAAGCTGGAATCCTTGGTCGGTACTTGTCCAACTTATTTGCCTGTAGCTGAGAGTAAGAGATATTTCTAACCAATTAATTTGGGTTAGTAGTGGTGCCCATTTCCAAAAATTGTTCTCTCAGTGAATATTGCAATCACAGAAGAATTATCTTGCACCCAACTGTAACTAAACTGTTAATGTCGGTTATTCTATGTCGTCTTAGGAAGGAATGTGGAGAGCGACCTCGAGAACAGCAAGCATGATTTTGGCTTGGAAGGCACCCAGTGGACTACGTCTTCACGCCCCCTGTTAGAGCAGTCACAGGCGTATAGGTGCCCTACTATCCAAGTGTTCATTCGAATTTGCGGACCGCTTAGTCCTTTCCAACACGATTACGCAACGGGGTATGCCCAAGAAGTTTGTGAATATCATGGTCTTTCCGTATTCATATATGGGCGCGTACGAATGTACTGGGAGCTCTCAAAACCATTCCTACAAGCAGTGCTTTCCAACATTTATGTACACTCCCTTCATTTTCGTTTAATTTCGTTTTTGTTGAGATGATGAAGCGAACACTAGAAGCTCTCCGAATCCCCGGTATTCAGATCTCTCCGGTCGAGGATCTTGTTAACCTTAAGTACGCCGATGACATTGTCCTCATTTTTGAGCAAGTGAGGGAGGCACAATGATTACTTAAAAACCTAATCACGGTCATCCTGGAAGTTGCAATAGCTCTGTCGGCGGTGTGACAGACGAAATCAGTGCACGAATCTCAGAGGCCAGAATTGCGCCTCCGGATTTGCGCCGTCAAACAGGCATCTCATTTAATCTGAAAGGACGCGTGTATCAGGCGTTGTTGTGCGGCAGCCAGACGTGCCACTTCGGGTGCAGTGTCTATGACATCGAGTCTTTGATTGCCGACGGCTGAGAAGTATAGCTAGGATTGATTGAAACTAGCGAATTCTGCAACATGGTGATCGATCATGAAACGGGCTTTTGTAAAAGCAGAGAGTACCTCGCTCAAAGAATACATCCTGCGTTGTAGGCTAAATTGACTGAGGTATGTGTTACACCTGCCGAGTTGCCGACTACCGAAATGAGCGCTTTTTTCCGTGACTAATTCGGAGTTTTGGAAACCTAGAGGTGGAGAGGATTTTAAATGACAAAAGGGAATGAAGCATGTTACGTGAATTGTGGGTGCCGTTGGTGCTACTCGCTTTCCAGGATGGGATCCACATGACCCCATCTGTACTTAGCTGGTGACACTGCACGATATGAAGGATAGCAGATATCACTGGAGTTCATGCTGTCAGTTTCTATCCAGATTGTCTGGTCGCATACTGGATGTGTAGACTCCTCGGATGTTTGCACTGGACTGGCCGTAGCTCCCTCTCCTTATCCCTTCTCTTTTTTCCTCTGCTGGACTATATTCAAATACATGGACAAGGTTGTATGGCAGTGGAACACTAGTGTTCTCGTCTGGTGTTGTTGTCAATGATGATGTTGATGGTAACGAGAAATTATGGCGTAGCTAGGCAAGTCGGTGTTAACATAGCATGTGCGGCGCGAATGGTTTTCCTGACCAAACACACATCTTAACGTCACCGCTATCATTGTCCTGATCTCAGTTGTCATTACTGTACGACATTTGTATGCGGTAGGCGTGGGCTACCACCGAGGTGCCATTAGCTGAAACTGAGGAATGATTACGATCCTCGTCTGAACGCAACACAGCGGTATTGGACAGAAAAATGCCACGACATTTGACTTTGTAAGGGTCGAATCGCCACTCACGTTCTGACTACCAACCTCGAGGGTTAGAAATCTGGCGTCATCCATAGTGTACTTAATTGGGTTGTGGAGGCGCGCAAACCGTCATGTGTTACTGCGTGGTTGTAAATGACAATCTGTCACTCGACAATCCAGTCAATATCGCTCCTTCCAAGCGAAACGGCCCAATGGTTATAGCGCGAATTTATTGACCGTGTTTCGAACCTGGTCTCTGCAATTCGACTTCTCTCTAGGTTTGGGCAACCTGGCAGTGTCCCAGCCCTCGTGCTTCCTTCGAGTGGCATGGTAGCTGGGCACCGGGAAGGGTGTTACAGTCTGACACATCCTACGTTCCCAGGTGCTATACTTTCTATATGTCTCACCTTTTAGGTCGACCTTTCGGCTCCACAGCCTTGGTGGTCAAAGTGGAACGAGGTGGATCTGCAGACGCAGGTGGCATTCGCGTTGGGTCACGTGTCCAAGCCCTCAATGGACAGCCTGTACGATCCATGACATTCCTTCAAATTTCCAACATAATCCGTTCCTCCAGGTTAGTCAATCTTTTTCTCGTTAGGTCGCTGTTTTTGGTCTACACTGAATGATTCCTGCAAATCGTGACTATTGTCCTGCTGTATATAGTTTGCTACGAGCTTCGGCGGTAGTCTGCGCACTGCAATTCCTGTTTTGCACAGTGTGGAGTTCTGCTGATACACTGACAGGTAGTTCTTCCTTTAATGCAGCAGTGCAACTGACACATTCTCTTCAATTGTTGTACTTCATCAACAGATTCAGCCGACGAAATTTGTGTGCGCCCATCGACAATCATTCCCGCGTTCCTGTTCCACCGCCTACACCAGGCGCGAGAGAGATACCTTGTAAATTTCCAGCCATCTGATTTGCCCCAACCACTGTCTGTTTTTGGTATCATGAAACTACAACTACTCGCTCAATTTTCAGTGACCATCCGTGCATGTTCGTTCCAGAAAACGAATATTCTTGTACTTGGGTTTATCTATTAAGTTACTCGCGTTCTGACGCTACCCTATTCGCTGAAAAGTGCACTCAAACATTACTGTGGATGGCGATGATGATGGTGGGCTCAGTACTTTTTGATCTTGTGAATTTCCGGTCGATTTTCCTGGACCGAAGCCATATGAAACCATTTTTTCAAGGGCTACGGAACAGGTGAACTACTATGGGTAATGAATGCCTTTTAGCAGACAGATCGTTCGGCTCAGAAAACTGTTTGGGTTCTTGAGCTAAATCTTTTGCGTAGGTTGGAGTTGTCTTCGGCATCACCGCTGAATTACCTTTGCCTCTGGCGTAACTCACCTTATCGACCGTTTGTAACCGTCCTTGTCCGCCTTAGCGGTTTTTTAGAGTATTCTCCCTCTAAAACGGAGAGTACAAGCCAATCGCACCACCTAGTGTAGCAAGGCACATGTCGCCAGTCAGAGACTGTCACATTCAGTGTGTTCGTTGGCTCTAAAATCTCGATTTGAACACACAATCAAGTCCGTTTCAAAGCAAACTCTTTTCTTCAATTCGAGTGCAGACATGTTTGTACAGCTAATGTATTTCGTGCGGCCAAACACACTTAGTGTGTGGGTTGTTTGGTCAAAAACCGACCACGTTCATGCACAGACTGTGGAGGAAAACAACCGAGTGAAAGTGTGATCCTGGGCGATATGGAAAGAGTCGCTCTATCTAGCTTGTTCCTGATGGTATTAGGACCCAAAGCAGTTCTCATGTCATCACGTCATTATGTGTTCCTCATATTCCACTATGTGCTTAAATTACGCAGTGACTGGACGGCTGGTTTCCTGGGAAGACTAACCCCCAACTCGGGCGGTAGACCAATTTTCGAATCCAAAACCTCCTCATAAGGAGCTGGAAAACTCGTCCACTCCGTTTTTCTGACGCACAGCTGATTATTTAACTGTTTCTGATGAGTAATCGTTGAGTAGGAGAAACTCTACGGCTCTTTTGCGGATGTTTCGGATTAGGTTTTCCGATCCACACTCATGTGGCAAAGCCAGGTGCCGGCTGCCCCGAATATCCAGTCTCCTCAGTTCTCGTATGGGTTTACTGGGTATCGTGTTGCGCGTGACTTTGATTGGACTGGGGGCTGTCAATACGCCTAGATTCATGTGACTGGTTCGCGTGAATAGACGCTGCGCAGAATTCCGATCCACAGTCATGTGGCAAAGCCAGGTGCCGGCTGCCCCGAATATCCAGTCTCCTCAGTTCTCGTATGGGTTTACTGGGTATCGTGTTGCGCGTGACTTTGATTGGACTGGGGGCTGTCAATACGCCTAGATTCATGTGACTGGTTCGCGTGAATAGACGCTGCGCAGAAATTGTTTACGACGGATTAGATACCTATTTGTAACGCAACAATGCAAAATTTTGTGCACTTCAACTCACAGCACCACACAGACACTTTTTTGGTACCACTTCAGTGCGACAACTACTCGACCATGAGTTTTCAGGTAACGAAATTATCTTGCTGTTGACAACCGGTACATCGAGTTACGCAGTTATTTTCAAGTGGTTTTTGCACTGCATAAAACATAGGGTGTGTGTGTGTGTGTGGCTACACTGGCCTCCGCGAGGTAACCGTGCTGGGATTCGGCCAATGTAAGTAACCTTTCATTAGTGCCTGAGCTAGCTGTTGCATCCGAATCAATGGCCATATATCTGCAGTCGAGCGACTCAGCTGGCCAATGCTTTGAAGTCACCACACCAGGCTAACTGGATCAACCATTGTCGGGCACATGCTTGCAGATAACTATCATACTTCGCTGAAATACACATAAGACATGAGACCACTGCTGTCTGCGGCGAATTCGGCTGCTAAGCTGACCATTTCTAATAAGCTCTTTATTGAGGCAGAACGATCGGACTACTGGTGAAAGGAAGAAAGCATTCGCTGCGGAGTTATTTACTAGAAAACACCAACTGAACACTTACGGACTATTGGACAGGGAAGCAAAACTCTCATATGAATCTTGTTTACAAAAACTGAATACCCATCTTCTCCTCGGACGCGCCTACCTGAGCTTTCATTGACTGTTACTCAAATGCAAGCAATTGCTACGAAGCGACTCCACAAATTCTGTAGCAGATCTCACTTTTCAAGAGACGCAATGCTGACTTACGAGAATACATACTACTCGCATGCCCTCCCATTAGTAGTATCACCGTTACACTGGTAAACAGTGTCACGGTGATTGTCGGGGCCGATGATTACCTAACAATGAGTGTGGAATTTTGTGGTAAGTACGTGGCCTGAAACCATCCAAGCCAATGCTATCTTGTTTTGATACCTTACTCGCGTATGGCCCATGAACGCGGTTTTCTGGTGCAGTGGCTGCAACGGAAGGGCATAATGCAATCACTGTTTCACTTCTCCCCCTTCTCATACATTGTTTACTGGAAACCCTACTTCTATTTGTAATGAGGTTAGCGTGATTTTTCATTTTACTGTTTCTTCAAATTGGACTGTCTGTACCATCTGCGTTTTATCGATTTTTCTCCGCCCTGCAATGTAGAAACACATTAAATGTCTCATTTATTGACCCGAGTCCCGTGGTCACAGAGAAGAGTGTGTCCTCTGGCCCTGAGGATGAAATAGCCCATCCCGCTACTTCCATGTCTCGTACCAGTCACCGGCACGACCCGGAGGAGCATCCATCGAATGGGACTTTATTCGGCTCTGTTGTTCAAATGACCGAAACTGAGGTTCCTGCAATGAACCCCTACGACTCTACGATTTCTTTTTCTCCACACAATCCAACAGATGAATACAAGTGTCTTTCGGTAAGAATTTATTGGTCTTTTTTCTTCGTTTCTTTCCCGCTGTCCTCTCCTAGAGGTCATGACTGTTAAGCAACTAGTTAATTCCGCCTTTTTTCTAGTTTTTCTACTCCATTAATAACTTTTCAGCCCTCTAATATTTCGCACATTCTTTGAATTCTTAGCTACTAATGTACTTGTTTCGGTGGCTTTGTGTAGTACTTTACGTTTCATTAAAAATGGAACAAATTTGGCGACCAAGTTAGTTGCTGGCCGGGATAGTGATCATCCCTAGCGATGTTGTGGAATATAGATAGCTCGGGTGCGCTTCTTGATCGTTGGTTCGTTCGCCGAGCTTGGCAGTCACCAATCGAGGTGACATCGTCACTGCGGCGTTCGCCAATCGTTCACCAATCGAGGTGACATCGTCACTGCGGAGTTGAGTGGGTGAATTCCTCCTCTTCTGCCTGTGCTCATATAGTTTCCAAACAGCATCTGAAGTGATTGGTTGGTCCAGAGGCGGTCTTCGCGCTGTTTGATTGGTCACCTGTAAATCTGAGTTGGTCTTACTCCCAGTTTGTCCTTGCGTGTGCGAGTATTTGAGCATTGTCTCAACTGGATTGATGTCCTTTGTTGGTGGATCGAGACAAGTTAGATTGGGTCATTTCTTCTGCCGAGAGCGAGAGTGCCGAGGCGTCGTACTCCACAGAAAAATCGATCATTAAACACATCGACATCGACCTAATCTGTTAGCCGTTACGAACAAAAGAACTGCACGGTCACGGGACTCTGAGCCACATGTGAAATCAAGAAACCTAACGACACCCAACGGAGCAATGCATCAGAGGGAGAAAACCACTAAAAACAGAAGGCCACTGAATCAACCAATGAATTGAACAAATTCAGACTGCAAAACAAGAATGAAACGATCCAGTCACAACGGAAGCAAATAATTGTCGAATTGAATGCGTCCAGCGAAACAACTAGATACAAGGGAATGAGACCAACTCAAATTCACAGCTGACCAATCAACTTTCGCGAAGACCGCCTCTGGACCAACCGATCACTTCAGAGTTAACAGATGCTGTTTAGAAACTATATGAGGGCAGACAGAAGAGGAGGAATTCACTCACTCAACCCCACAGTGACGATGTCACCTCGATTGGTGATACAACGTTTGCGATCCAACTGCCAAGCTCGGCGAACAAACCAATAACCTAGTGATCTCTTTTCGCTGGATCAGTCCGTCTTCAGTCAGTCCCACAAAGCCCTTTGAACTTCCAACTGTTCGAATACCGACTTGGTGTGTGTTTCTCCAGTCCACTCTGTTTGCTTGTACGTTTTGCGTATGTTTCACTGTTTTTTTTTCAGGAGTTTTATAGAAACACACTTTTCTTGCTTTGTAACCGGTAGTTGCGTAAGATAGAAAATGATCAATAGGTATCCAACTAGGTTGTTGAGTCGGTAGCGTGCGGTCTTCTCCCCTCTACTATTTCCAATCACCTGCTGTCCAAAATGATGATGATGATGTGCGGGTGCCATCTTTCTGAGTATGGTTCGAATCCGACCTCCGCCTCTCGGCTTGGGCAACCTGGCAGTATCCCAGCCCTCGTGCTTCCTTCGGTTCATTCCGGCACGACCTCCGCCTCTCGACTTCCTCTGTCTAGGCTTGGGCAACCTGGCAGTATCTCAGCCCTCGTGCTTCCTTCGGGTGGCATGGCAACTAGGCACCGGAAGGGTGCTACAGCTGAACGCTTCTTTCTTTCTGAGTATAGCTACATTGTTGGTAAATATAAACATGGGTATATTTATATAGTGCATATGGTTTTCATACATATGGTTTATATAGTGTATATAGATAGTATACATATCGTCAGGAAGAGCCTGTTTGCTTGGCAAAAACTGTCGTCTGAGTATGCAGAGAGGGGAAACATGTGAGCCAACGAAGCCGCACGGTCGAGAAGTGAACTATTCTGTCAGACGCAGATGGGTGTGATGTGTAGGTGGATCCTCACGTACGTTGTGAACTAGAGGTAGTTGGAATACGGACAATAGTTCTGAGATGTTATTTTTGGTAGGCCCACCCATTTTCGGGATTGTACGGACGTTGTTTGAATAGAAAGCGACTGAACCTTCGTGCTTCCCTCGGGATACGCGGCAGGTAGTTTTCGAAAGGGTTCTGTGGTTGAACTATTCGGTTTTCGATCATTGGTTAGTCTGTCGTGAAGCTTTTGGTGTATATGAAACTGCACCGGATATTGGTAATAATAGTAATCGTTCAGCAGTAACATTCTTTCATTGCTTAGCCGCTGTGCCACCCGAAGGAGGCTTGAATACTGCCATGTTGCCCAAGTCTAGACAGAAGAAGTCGAGATGGAGAGGCTGTGTTTGAACCACGGACCTTCCGTTCAGTAAATTCGCCCCCCGACCACTGAGCCACCTCGCCTCTGCAGGGGATTTGTGTTGAAACAACGTGATATACACTTTCTTGTCATCGTGAGAAGACATGCTTCTCTTTTCACGATGGCAAGAAAGTGAATATCACCTTGTTCCAGCACAAATCGCCTGCGGAGGGTTCATTCCCCAGCCAGTCTCCACAGATTGTGGATTGCTCCTATGAATATCTCCCAGCTCCCATTCCAAGACGAACTATGGCTGATCGCTAGTACGGCTACCAGCTTCTGGATAGTTTACATCCCAGAGAAGGATACTTTTAGTTAATAAGCTGAAACTTGCTTCAACGGTTACACGTTACCTGTATGTGACTTCTCGGTTGGACTCTTCAATGATCTCCTCAGGACGGGACACCCTGCATTACGTACTCCATTAGGAGCATATTGTGCACCGCAGAAGTTACTGGTTTCTATTAGAAGCACATTCCGCAGAGACGAGTCCTCCTGAACAAGAGACCCGTACTTGTGCACCTCGAAAGGAGGCACCTAATCGTGTTCCTTCATAGAACGGACCCCTTTGGTATATGTTCGCTTTGACAACAGTAGAACTTTTGTAGACCCAGTTAGTTTCCTTGCTGTCGTGAAACAACGCATGCTAGTAGATGATTGACACTTGGTTTTATCGCCTACAGGTTCTTCACAGAATCTATCTAGCCTTATTGTAAGTTTTTAGTGTTGACCGCATGACATCGTTTGTGATTCTCAGTTTCGTTTGTATCGTTTTGTTTTCCTTCACCTTTTGGATGATGGCGTACCCATCACCCAAACCCGAAGGAAGCGTTTCTGTTATTTTTCTCTAGCCGCTAGCATACTTCTCATCCCCAACTTCTTACAATTCGATAGTCTGTTGCACATGACTCTCAAACGTGTATCGAAAAGCATGTTGGCAATGTTTTTCTCTGGCCACACAGCGGTTCATCTCACATGCCTGAAGGGTCATGCTATGGGCACACAATCGAGTAGAATGAGCTCGCATTCAACTTGGCGTGAGAAGCATGATTACCGTTTCTTTTAACTCCTCATAATTACGTCTCACTGATTGACGCATGCCTACTCTCCAGTCCTCGTTGCAGAATTCTCCGATCGTACCTACCATCCCCGATTATGCTAATCCGGAATCGTCTGCTCGCAACTCGGAGCACACTGACTCGGTCACCGAACAACAAATGGTTCTACAACCACGTGTGGATTCGCTTCATTCATCTCCATCACCTTCGGATTCCTCTTCTCATTTGATCACTTCTAACCTGGGCCTATCACACAACGCTTCACCCCTACCTTTACGGAAAAATAGCAGCAATGCAAGTAGGTTGTGCTCGAGATCCGAATGCTACCGGGGTATTGTTTTGTGATGTGCCAGTTGTGTGAAGTTTTCGGTTTGTGCTTTATTGATTCAGGTTCTATCTTATTGGCAGCCAGTTCTTAGTCTGGCCGAATACTTTGGTAATTACCTGTGTCTGAAACTTGAGCATTGATATGTTACGATGGTCCCCCGAGATAACTCCCCGGAGTTGGATATGTGATGCGCACCTCTTTGCAGTTGGACACCCAGAACTCATTTTGAGAAGGAGCGTTTGATGCATGGGATGTTTTTATATCACGTAATCATAGTAACCTGTTCCCTAAGGCTCATGCGACGCGAGTCTCAATTAGAGCGAAAGTTTTTGTTTGGCTGAGCTTATCAGGATTTGATTATGATTCAGCTTTTGATATTGTTTTTGTGCTTTCTCTGAACCGACCAATCTTGGCCAATCCATGAGAGTAGCGAAGCTACTGCCGTGGACTAGGTGTACAATCCACGTAGCTAGAGCCCCACCCCCCACCAAGTAGAGGCGAAAACTATCTCGTCATTTATGGTAGAATACGGTATCGCACATAGCCTTGAGCTTGGTCAATGTGCATACCGTGATCTAGAGAAAGTAGGCGTGAGCGTGTGGACTCAGTTCCGCCACATCAAACGTCGTCAGTTTTTCACCTGTTTTTTTCTTTCCTCCGTGCAGATTCAGGTGTTAGTCCACTTTTCACGAAGTTGCAGTCGTCACCCGTTTTAGAAGAACGGATTTTGTATCCGTCCTCATGTGTGGAGCCACGAAAACCCGCAACATCAGTCGACCCAGGGTCAGCTGACGTGTCCACATCAAAGGAATCTCCATGCCAACAGGACACTAGTGATGAACATTCTATCCGCAGGACGCGACAGACTAATCCAACGCGTCGTCTGACAATCGATCGACCGGAATGCAACGAGGAGCTCACAGAGACAATACACTTCGTGCGCAAACGTGCTTATGCTTCCGCTCGTTATTCCAGTAAGACTGATCAGTTTCTAGGGTTATCGCCAAAGTTGTCGGTGAGTAACGACGTTTCCGCGGATTCCCCCTGTCAACTTTTGCCGGCTGCACCCCAGCACACGTCTCCTGGTAGTGCCTACGTGATCGAGCCGCGTATTACCCACCTTCCTGGTCGCCGTAGTAGTGGCAGAACACATACAGCCATGGCAAAACCTTTTCCTTCTCCTTCGACCCACACCAGCCCGAGTGGACTGAAACTGGCTGAGTGTCCGCTCTCTTCGTCCCAATCCACAGACGGCCTCTCTAGTTCATCTGCTGATGCAAATTCACGTTTGTCCCCAGAAAGAAACCCACTTTCTGCAGACAGCATTGATAGATCCGTGACAATAAGTGAGTTAGCTTGCATGCACCGTTTCTTCTTGTACGAGTTTTAGACCGACTTCCGCTCACAGGGGCATCCGTAACGGTGTCAAGTGCATTTTGGAACAAATGATCCCGTCGAATAGTTGGATTCTTCAAATTTTCACCTGATTGGATATTGGCGTTGTCAACATTCAGCCTATATTGAATTCCCTAAATGTTAACAATTCAACAATTTCCGAACAAGAAATTTATGGCTGAACGGATGCAGGAATACACATTTTCTCTTTCGAATGTCTTAGGGGAGAATATCTTGGCCAGTTTCTTTGGGTAGAGTTCAGAGAAAACCAGAAGTTTACTGCGAGAGCCTCACGGCAATGCACCATAGAGGTTACCGAGGATCATGTGCTACCAAGTAACATAAGAAGCTCTTCTCTTCGCATCTAAGGGCTAAGCGTTTCCAGCCAGTGTGCTTCATTCCTGCTCGTTTGATGCGCACAAATGTGTGTATGTAGGGTGGGGCTGTTGAGACCCTAGAGTGCATTTGAATGACAGAATTAATGTACCAGGTCCCATGTTATCCTGTCACGATTGGAACAAGGTACTGTTCAACGCTGGTGGGTCGGTTTGTTTGACTGATGCAACAGTCAAGTGTGTTTTTCCTTTCGGAAACTATTTCTATGCTAGGAGAATGCCACGCGCTCAGACTACCAGTGAAATGGAGAAGGCCTTGGCTGCGGAGTTATTTATTAGAAAACGCCAAGCGAACAGTTACAGACTATTGGACAGGGAAGCAAAACCCTCATTTGCATATTGTTTACAGAAGCTAAATATCCATATTCTCCTTCAACGCGTCTTCCTGAACTTTCCTGGATATTCATTGACTGTTTCTCAACTGCGACTCCACAAATGCCGTAATAGATCTCACTTTTCAAGAGGTGCGAAGCGGATTTACGAGAAGACATACTACTCGCATGCTTCATCAGTAGTATCCACTGTTACGCCAGTGACCTCCAGATAGCGCTGCGTTGAATGCTCTAATTACTGATCGGGAGCTCCGTCATTTGACTGTCAGCCCTCGAGCTTCCTTGAGTTAGTACGACAGCTAGGCCCTGAACGACGTTACGGTTTCACACTGTCAGTTCCTACATTGGGATACCTGACGACTAACTTTGTCACTTTTTTGTACGAAGGACAATTCGGTAAGAACTGTTGAAACTTGTGTCTGTAGTAAACGAGAGCACAGTTTTCCTCTGGGATGCTTGATTCTGTGGACTGTTGCACACATATGTGGACATGAATCCACTCATAAAACACTTGAGGCATAATGACAAGATTAGGGGCGAGATGGCCAAAGTGGTTAGAGTGCGAACTTACTGACCGGAAGGTCCGTGGTTCGAACCTGACCTCTGCCTATCGACTTCTGCCTAGGCCTGGGTAACCTGGCGGTATCCCGGCCCTCGTGCAACCTTCGGGTGACATGGCAGTTAGGCACCGAAAGGGTGCTACAGCTGAATGATTTTTTTACGATGACAAGGTCTGTACTCGGCTGAAACAAGCTCCCAGGCATCGTGGGAGGTGCGAATGGAGGGGTTTGATAAAATTGTGAATAAGCTATTTGTTTTTCTTACTGGATAATAAAAAGCACCGCAAAACCTGAAGTGTGCTGATTTTTTCTTCGATTTTGAACTAACCCCACTGGTAGTTGAGAGGTAAGACGCTGAATGAGGCTTCACCATACCGGAATTAGTGATAAATTCAGCGAACGGCTACCGTGACTATGCTGTATTGAAACTTTGATGGTTCCAAATTCCGAACGAAAGTAGAGAAAGTCAAAAGGAATGACTGGCCTTAATAGAATTTCGAATACAATAAAGCGATAACTGAACCTTTCCAGAATCGAGTATCAGTTGTATGCTCGCATATCGTCTCGACCCATTGAATCAACTGAACACTATTCACAAGTCACAAGCGCAATGTGGCAACAGTCTTACATCTTATTGTCTGGGAGTTCAATTGAGGTTCACCCTGATTGGTGTTTCTGAGTGCTTTATAGATTTAAAAGACGTCCTCAACTGGTCCACCGACCCATCATCGAAAGTGGATTTGAAAAAAAAAGACGGAAGCCTCTTATGGACATATCTCCGTATTTGTTGTGACATTCTGTTTTAGCCCACCACCATTTCTAGATTTGTCCTTTTTGTCAACGTACTTGTCAAGACTTGTTCTCCGAGCGAACATTTGTTAGGTTTTCATAAAGGAAACTACTCACAAGGTTGCTGAACACTCTTCGACAGCCCACGACCCGTTTCGCCCTTCTTGGGGCTCATCAGGTAGGCGCAGTCCCCGAGTTTCCGTCAACAATATTCGAAAGTGGATTGCTGTTCACGCAACAGTTGACTGGTTGAACGAATTCGGTTGTGTTGCTTTCATTTCACGGGGTAAAGTCTGTTGGTCTTGTGTATGTGTATGTGTGGTACTGTGTGTACTGGTCGTCCCAACTGGGCTGAAAGGTTTGCCTGATTGCCTTCTTAGACGAGGCATTGCCGTAACCTAAACCAGGAGATGCTTCTTTGAGCATAAACTGTTTTAAATGATTATTCTCATTAACCGCGAGTCTTGTGCCGTTTCGCCCTGTTCACACCTTTTCCTAGGCATGGAGCGCCGTGATAGTGGTAATGGGGGACAAGATCTCATGCGGAATCCAAATGGTCCACTTCTGTCCACGAATGGTCAGTCTAAACAGTCGACTGCTTCGAGACCTAACGGAACACACAGCAACGATGGGTTGGACGTCCCGTTTGCGTCAGCAACTGAGCGGTTTACAGTGAACAGTCACGGCGGTAATTTCGCTACTTCAGATAACCCATGGGTGAAAGCTGGAGAGGCCTATCAGGAGATTGAAGCAGCCAATCAGGAACTCGCAAGAAGACTTATCAACCAAAGTGTTGAGGCAGACTTGGTGGATAGTCAGCGCGGGTTGCTGATGTGTGACACACTTCATGGTATCGAACGGGGCCAGCAGAACAAAGAGAACCGATTAGCTCTTCCGCGTTACGAGGCATGGTTGGCGTCGGGAATCTGGTACACGTA